TGTTATGCAGCTGTAATTTCTTTCAATAGTTTTATTAAATATTGATTATTGAATTGATACAGTAATTATTTTATTGTCGTTGATTCAACTGCAATTTGTAGGTCTATTGTAATAGTAATAATAAATAAATTTTACTTGAAAATGATAATAGTTACGAAAACCTTACAAGGATAATTTTTTGTCCCAAATTAAACGGAGAATCCAAAAAATATTGTTTTTTAAATTTAAAGCCAGTGGCGTACTAATATTTTTTACTAAAGCAATGGAGACCCCTATTTTCTCCGTCACTGGTAAAGTAAAAAAAATGAAAAATTCTCCAAAGATCACACGTACAGTGCCAAATCATTTATAAAAATCTTATTAAATAAAAATATATTTATTTTAAGGAAACTTTAACGCGCTGTATCTCAAAAAGTAAACATTTGTCGGGTATAGTTTATTTAGCAAACTAACATTATTTTTTGATAATGTATTGATTCCTGAAGTTTGATCGAAAAAAAGTGGACCACCCTGTATATATATTTTTTTAATATTAACACCATTTAAATCCATACAAAATAAGAAATAGCAAAATCGAAGATCCTTCTGGCTTTGGCTAACCTTCAAAACCATTACCATTTTCGTTAATGCACTTCTGCAATCTGTGGTAGAAACTCCTGACAACAGAACAGAAATTAGCTTCATTTATTTCCGCTACTGCTTCATGAATCCTGCCAACAGGCACAGTAAAATAAATCTTTTCTTTTATGTATCCCCATAACCAAAAGTCTATCGGAGTCAAATCAGAAGACCGGGGTGGCCATGGTGTTGGTCCACCCCGTCCAATCCTTTTATTAGGTTCAAAATATGTCGTACTTGTAATGTGGCATGTGCGGGCGCACCATCCTGTTAAAACCACATAGTTGCACGTTGTTGTAGAGTGATATCTTCTAACAAAAATGGCAAAATGTTCTCGCAAAAACTTCTGTAATTTTCACCATTTAGTATTCTTGGCAAAAAATATGGACCTATGATCCTTTTCCCGTAAATACCTATCCAAACAATTACAGACCAACATCTTTGCTGATTCCGCTGACGTTTTTCATGAGGATTCTCATAATACCACTAATGAAGGTTGTGGTGATTGATAACTCCTTGTTTTTGTCCGGTCAACTTGATTAGTCAGTCGAAATTTTCGCATTTATTGAACTAAAATTAATAATTTATTCGAAAACGGCTCCGCTTTCGAGATTTTTGTTTTATTTTTTATTTTAGAATATATATCCGGTCGCTGGGGAGTGAATCTTGACTCACCCTGTATAACGTGTCCCAAAAGTATGGAAACAGCACAATAACTTTCGGAAAATGCATTTTGAGGAAAAATGATTCAGACAAAAGATTTAGGATTTTTCCCTGGCTATTCAAAGATGACACTAGATTTGACCTTGACCTTGACCTTCAAGGTTATTTCAAAGTCAAGTTATTTTTTTCAAATGGGATGCCTGGAAATTTTACGTTCAGATATGTCCTTGACCATTTCCCAAGATGGCGGATCCAAGCTGGCGGACGCGTTTCAAAAAAATTAATCGATTTACGCCAAATTTGGTATAGAGGGGTTTTTGGGGTCGCTGACTACGAATCTGAAATCTGTTTTTGAGAAATTTTAGTCGAAAATGGCGGATCCAAGACGGCGGACGCGGTTCCAAAAAATTAACCGATTTACGCCAAATTTAGTATAGGGTTTTTTTTTGGGGTCGCTGACTACGAATCTGAAATCTGTTTTTGAGGAATTTTAGTCCAAGATGGCGGACACTATTTCAAAAATCAACCGATTTTTGACAAAATTGATATAGTGCGGTTTTTGAAGGTGAAGGTCACAACGTTAGTTATGGTAATTTTTTTTGCAACCCGTTGTTTTCAAGACAGCGCGCTAAACCATGCGTGACCTTGATTTGACCTTTAATGACCATTAGAGATCAAATTCGGAAAATGGTCAAGGACATATCTGATTCCAATTGAAAAAATTAACTTGACCTTGAAATAACCTTGAAGGTCAAGGTCAAGGTGAAATCCAGGGAAAAATCCTAAATCTTTTGTCTGAATCATTTTTCCTCATAATGCATTTTTCGTAAGTTATTGTGCTGTTTCCATACTTTTGAGACACTCTGTATAAATATTATGCTATATTGAAATGCGCATGCGTCTATTAAAAACTATTTTCGATTGCTCTAAGAACAAACCTTATAAAGGGTGCCTCAAAATTCACGCAAGAAGTAAGTTTGGTAGAAAACACAGGCACTTAATTAAATAAAAATTGTGAATTTTCTATTGATTCATAAAGTACAGGGTCTCCCATAAGCACATGATCAAAAAGGTATACTGCGACATTCTTTCGCTCAAAAGAAGACGATCTAACTTCCATTAAGAAAAAACGTCTGTCTTCTCTGCTATTGATTGTCAAAGCTCTGGAAAAAAAATATATGTTTTTTGTAGTATCTGAAGAATATTACGATGGATTTTTAATGAAACTTACTGTGGACTTGTTCCTAAGTAAGACTCATGTGCTAAATTCTTGATTGTCTTGGTACAAGAATAACCAGAACTTTTTATTTAGTAGCTGGAATCAATTAATTTTTTTTATTGATGTGTGTGTCCTTTCGAGATTTTCGTGGCCTTGGTAAAATCTTGCAGCATTCATAGTTTTTACGCAAAAAAATGTTTTCAATTTTAGACAATCATTATCACTACTACTCAAATACAACTACTCACTACTATCCTAGTAAGCAATGATAGCATTTTATAATAAATGAATCGACAAACTTTTGACGAGGCGGACGCAGTACGGAATGTTGAGGAGGGCTTAATCCAATTTCAATCGAAGCATCCAGCTATGCATTCAAGAAAATGGCAGGTATATAGAACATGTCTTATTCCATCATCATCTATCGTATCTATGTAACTATCATCCAGTTGCGTCGCAATAGGCTTTAAAATTGTGATAGTTATTATTAGAGAAAGCTGCTTCTTGTAAACGAACAGATTTACTGCGTAAAAACTATGAAGGCTACAAGATTTTACCAAGCGCAAGAAAATCTCGAAAAAGGATTGATGAATCAATTAAAACAAATTAATTGATTCCAGTTACCAAATAAAAAGTTCTGGTAATTCTTGTACCAAGACACTCAAGAATTTACTACTAGCCCAAGGCAGATTGATGCGGTTGCTTCATCAAAACATGAGTCTTACTTAGGAACAAGTCCACAGCACGTTTCATTAAAATACATTTAACATTCTCCAGATACTACAAAAAATATATTTTCAAGAACTTTGACAATCAATAGCAGAAGAGTCAGACATTTTTTCTTAATGGAAGTTAGATCAGATCGTCCCCTTTTGAGCCAAAGAATATCGCAGCAACTTTTTAATCATATGCTTATGGGATACCCTGTGTACAGTATAGGGTTATGTATGGAATAGCACATAGAGTAAATGGCCTCCACGGTTTTGTTGGCACATACGCACTCTTGCAGAAATTTTCCATGACCGTTTTGCATAAATGCCGTTGAATGTCGTTGATACAGCGCTCAATTTCCTCCTTCAACGCGTGGGTGGTCGTGGGATTGTTGGCATAAACCTTAAATTTCAACAAACTCCAAAGAAATTATCCAACGGCGATAAATCGCGTGATCTAGGCGGCCAATTCCGATCACCAAAATGGGAAATTACACATGCATAAATTGAATTGTTTCTCGGGCTGTAAGGCATATGGCAGCGTTTTGTTGAAACCACATGTCGTGTACATCCATATCTTGTAATTTAGGCACAAAAAAACTGAATTATCATGGCGCACTCGCGAGCGTCTTTAACTGTTATTACCCAACCAGCAGCATTTTTTAAGAAGAATGGTCCAATGATGCTTCTAGCCCAAAATCCGTACCAAACAGTGATACGTTTGTATGCATTTATTTCCCAACGTATTAAAATTTTTTTAGGTGCTTACAAAAAGCAAAATTCAGTCATTTTTAAACGCACAAGTTCAAAACAAACTCCAACAAATGCTCAAAATGTCCACCATCATTTTCGATGCACGCACGACACCTTCGAATCCAATTTTCGCGCACTCGCTGGAAAATACCTCAAGAAAAGGAAATAGTGGTACGCAAAAAACACTCTGACACGGTCGAATCCAGATACCAACTGAATTGAGTATTGGTGGTTGCTGGACACCTTAGTATCTCGTGTTAATAAACCACCGCGCCATTGTCAGATTGCTCGATATGAATTTTATTGAATTTTAAATTTATTACAACGTTAATTATTTTTTTAGAATTAAGCATAACGAAGTTCAAAAAAGCGACAAACATTGTATTTTATGGTATTCTATGCACGCAGTTGTGTCAGTATTCCTTAATTAATCGAACTTTTGTACATCAAGTACGTAGTAAGTGAGATTTTAATAATTTTTTTCTCGGAAATGCTTGAGTTTAGGACGCATGTCATATAAGGTTTTTTTTGTTTATTTTACTTTATTCTACCGCCCGTTAAAATTAAGGCAGTCAAACTTCTAACACCCTGTATAGGTAACTCGAGACCCAAAGTAATGAAGGAAGCTATGTCGTCTTGCAGTTTACAAAATAATTTGTATGAGAGTTTTTCAATTTTCGAGCTACCTACAAAGTATTTAAAAACGATTCTCCTGACAGTTACTCATGACTAGTTTGTTGTAATAACATGTACTTAAATAAACTGATCTAATATTTTATATCCAGTAAACGAATGTAAGACCAGATGGCGAAGCTTGCGAGATCTATACCACAGAAAACGGAAAGAAGTGAGGCAAGGCAAGAGATCTCGCTCGCAATGGGAGTATATGGAGATGCTGTCGTTCCTAGACTATTTCACTGGAGAAAAGAAGTATGTGAGATAGTAGGTATTCATTATAGATGAGTCTAACGTTTTTCTGTTTCAGAAATGAAAGGAAGTTAGAAGATTGTAGTGAAGTAAAGGAAGATTCCAATGAATCCAAAATTAGCGATCAGTTTCCGTCTAACAACTATATGAACATAATTGCTTTACCATTTGGAATGAACGAACAGCACTCTTTCAAAATACCGGCACCAGAGGAAACTAAAATAGGTAAATAAAATTCGTATTTTATACACTAGGCACAGATTTTAATAGTCTAATTAAATAAGCCTTTAAATCGAAATTTTGGTCAACTTGCCGAATTTTTGATATGAATTAGTTTGAGGTATGTTATAACAATAAGTGATAGTAATTTTTTGTTCAACCGCCGGCCAAGGGTGAAAAAAGATAAAACAAAGGGGTTTTTCTAGATAACTCAAAACGAATAAGGGTTAGAAAAAAAGTTTCGTATAAAAGTTGTAAAGCATACAATTATACATAAAAATGGCCTCTAGATTTTTTCTTGTATTATTAAAATTAACAGAGTTAGGGAGGCTAGAATTTAAGGGAAGATTTCAGAAATTTAAAAAAATCATAAGCAGAAAAATAAAATAATTTTGTAATTTTTTTTTCGATCTACTCTAAAAAATTTAACCTTTCCTTTCAGAGAAATAGATATATTTTTAAATTTTTAATAAGAAAGTTATAACAATTTCAAATTTGTTGTTCATCCTCCAAACAGAGATTTTAAAAAACCTCGAAACAGGTCAATTTAATTTTGTCAATTTTTTTACATAAATCATATTTTTAATTCTTTTTGAGTAAATATGATTTTTTTATAAATAAAAAATATAGTTTTTCTGAAATAAAAAATAAGGGTAACAACCCCCAACGGAATCACTTGCGAAATATTTGTTCTTTATCATAAGTAATTTCCATTTTGTTTCATTTCAAAATATTGATAAGAACCCCAGAAATTTTGAAATAACTGTTTTGGGAGTGAACTTTGAGGGTGTATTTCGCCCCGTAAATATGTTTACCTACGACCACTACTGTAAATACTTACTACTACTAAAACACAGCGTCTGCGATAAATGTAAGATTCCTATTACGTACGGTAAAAAATCGCACAGTTTTCCTAGCAATTTCCTAGCAACAGCCAATACAATACTGTTTGTATTGACCGTTGCTAGGCGGTTGCTAGGAAAACTGTACAATTTTTTTACCAAGCTGTGCTTTTTTACCGTACAACGTAATAGGAATCTTGCATTGATCGCAGACGGTGTGTTTTTAAGTATTTAAAGTAGTGGTCGTAGGTAAAGTATAGTACGTAATACGTGGTGTAATGCAATTACGCACTCATAGAATTACGCACTCGCCGCTACGCGGCGTCGTGCGTAACTTTTCCATTCGTGCGTAAAATGCTTTTTACAACACTTATTACGTAATATACTATTAATGTGCATGCTCAGTGACATTAACAATTNATGTCAATAAATACTATTATTCCTTTGATAAAATAAGTGTTTTAATTTGGACTTATGATTTATTTGTTTTAAATAAGTTCATTTAAATTAAAATAACCAAAATGTAGATGCAACCTTAAAACATGATTGTTTTAAAGAAATTGATTTGTTTTACATTATAATTTACTATGTTTTAATACATTATATTATATGTTTAAATTTAGGATGTATCCTTGATTCTAATACATTTTCTAAACATAAAATAGAATTGTTCCAAATACATGAGTAATACTGAAATAAAGATATATGATCAAATTAAATAAATATTTCTTCATAAGAAACAATTGCTTTTAAAGAAATTTGTAGTTTATTATTAAAGATACCTTTTTATGTGTGTACTAAAATCTCGAAAGCGGAGCCGTGTTTGGAAAATTTTGTAAAGAAAAGTTCAAATTTATATACAGGCTGGTCCACTTTTTTTCGATCAAACTTCAGGAATCAATACATTATCAAAAAATAATGTTAGTTTGCTAAATAAACTATACCCGACAAATGCTTACTTTTTGAGATACAGCACGTTAAAGTTTCCCGAAAAAAATATATTTTTCGAATTTTTCTGTAGGTGATGAGGTTTCACCCGTAAGATTTTTATAAATGATTTGGCACTGTACGTGTGATCTTCGGAGAATTTTTCAATTTTTTTTACTTTACCAGTGGCGGAGAAAATAGGGGTCCCCATTGTTTAAGTAAAAAAATATTAGTACACCACTGGCTTTAAATTTAAAAACCAATATTTTTTGGAATCTCCGCTTAATTTGGGACCAAAAATTATCCTTATAAGTTTTTCGTAACTATTATCATTTTCAAGTAAAATTTATTTACTTATTTCTATACAATAACATGTGGACATATTACCATGCGAATTTATTATTTATTATGTTTTACTTGCCTAAACATAATTTGCCNTTTTCCGCCGATAAAAAAAATTACGTGTCTTTACATTTTTTTGAGTAGATATAAAATACAAAATTCATTCATTTTTCTACTTGTTATGATTTTTTAAATTTCTGAAATCATCCCTTAACTTCTAGTCTCTCTAACTCTGTTAATTTTAATAGTAGAAGGAAAAGTCTAAATGTCATTTTTATGTAGAATTGTATGTTTTACAACTTTTATAAGAAACTTTTTTTCTAGCCCTTGCCCCTTTTGAGTTATCTTGAACAACTCCTTTGTTTTATCTTTTTTCACCCTTGGCCGGGGGTTGAACAAAAAATGTTTGTCTCTTATTGTTATAATATACCTCAAACTAACTTATATCAAAAATTCAGGCAAGTTGACCAAAATTTCGATTTAAAGGCTTATTTAATTGGACTATTAAGGAATATTAAAAGAATCCCAAAATTTTGGGTGATTTTCAAAGTGCTGTAATTTGAAGAGAGAATTCGTAGAGAGAATAAAAAAAAGGTAATTGAAGTTTCAGGTGTCTAGTTTTCAGATCTGCAGTTTAAAATTTTTTCTGTTAATATTCTTATGATTACGCAAAAACTGCTGTCGCTAAAAAATTTTAAACAGTAGATCTGAGAACTAGACACCTGAAGCTTCAATTTCCTTAGTTTTTTATCCTTCCTACGACAATTTCCCTCCAAGTTACAGCTCTTCGAAAATGACACAAAATTTTGGGATTTTTTTAATATCCCTTAATTTCTGTGCCTAGTGTATTTTGATTTTTCATATTTCTATTTTGTTCACAAAAAAACTATTTTATTACCTACTTATTCTACACTGTAAACTAGATATGTCTAAAATTTACATATGTAAGGATTTAAAATGCATATAGCACATTTCCGGGGCAGCTAAAAAAAATTCTTATTGTACCAGTGATAATTCCTTTACAGACATAACAAAATCAACAAGGCATTGATCTACGTTCAATAGCAGAACAGATTTATTAGGTAATTTCTTTCTTGTTTTAAAACTACATCACGCAATGCAAAGAATTGATACAACGTATGTACTCGTCCGACTCAGTCGCCTACAACACTATTAATTTTTTCCCAGAGACCAAGAGGTTGAAACTAGACAACCCCGAAGACAACATCAAAGCAGAAAGCGACGTCGTCCACCTTCTCCGAGACATTAGGGACGCCACTCGGGCTAAGCAACACCCGATCAAGATGTTTTTCGACAGCATGGCCAGCACGGTCATGGGTTTTCCGCCCGCATTGGCAGCCGAGGCAAAGCTAAAAGTGTGCCAAATCGTGGCAGAGTTGGAGTGTAAGATGTTAAATGAGACAGGTTGCATCGACGGTCAATCGGATGTGAATTTTTGATGCCACTATATTTTAGTTCGAGAAAATGCAATTAAACGTAAAAGTTGATTGATGTGAATAGTTTATGTATGTATATAATTTTATGAATGGTTCATTTTATTGGAAAGTGTAGGAATAGTTAAGGTTCACAGTTATAATTAAGTTACGTAACTACAAAATCTTGTATATCAAACATACACTTCCAATAAATAACATTTTAATTTAGATTTAGATTTAACTAAGTTCATCAATATTTCTAATCTCGACAGGCGATCTATTAATTTCATTGACTCAAAATACAGATGGGGACAAATTCACATTTTAATTTTTTTCTTTAACATGAGGAATGCTAGAGACACGAAACTTGATATGAGCATGCTACTAATAAAGAGACAACTTTTCAATATTTATTCGATCATTGGCGTTTTTTATAAAGGAGTGAAACAGTTATTGCGAAGGTCATCTGCTGCCTGAAATATTCTTAAGCGTAGTTCTTCTAACAAAACAAAAGGAGCGGCATAAACAATACTTTTTATGTGTCCCCACAAAAAGAAATCCATAGGCGTTAGGTCAGGTGAACGTGTAGGCCAACAAACAGGGGCATCACGACCAATCCAGCAATTCGAGTAATTTAAATTTAACCATTCTCTAACGGCAAGTGTACTATGTGCAGGTTAGCGATGTAACGAATGCCAGTTTTTAAGCATTCGCGAATGCGAACATCTGTTGTTGACATTCGCGAATGCAAATGCGAATACGAATATTAAGTTTTTAAATCTAGCGCCGTTTATCTATGATTCAAAATATGCCGCGCGCGACGCACATAATATTTCCGGTGACAGCGGCGCTAGAGGCTAAAGAAATTAGCGTTGTTAAGTTGGTAGAACGGTATTTTTGTATGATTGGAATTTTGTTTTGTTTTCGCTACCGGCTCAGATGAGTTTGTGAACTGTGAGGTTAGACTGTTTAAAGTTTAAAGAAGTTTAAGATTTGTTTTTTTTTCTTATAGAAGTTTTTATTTTTTAAGTCTAAATGTTTATCAAAATATGTGTAGACAAAGACTGATCAAAACAATACTTAATTAGATTACCTACATACATAAATAATATATATAAACATAGTATTATTTGGTGGTGGAAATTCGAAATATTTGGAATTGTTCAATTTTTTTCGCTTAAAATATTCATAGGTATTGAATTTTCGAAATCGAGAGAAATGCACTCAACAAATTTGGACAGGACATAGTTAATACAGTGCAAAATATCGCCTTACTGTTGAAAAAGTTCACCGCCGTTCTTGGTGTTGAAAATTGGAAATATTTGAATTTATTCAATTCTCGTGGCTGATAAAATAATAGAGGTATTGATTGAATTTTCGTAACCGAGAGATGCACTAACCAAATTTGGTCAGGAGATAGCTAATACAATGCGAAACATCGCCTTACTGTTAAAAATGTTGTCACCGCCGTTCTTGGTGGTGAAAATTCGAAATATTTGGAATTATTCAATTTTTGTGGCTGAAAACATATATTGAATTTTCGAAACCAAGAGAGAATCACTAACTAAATTTGAGCAGGACATTATGGTTTCCAATATTTATTTCTAAACTTTATCTCTTAAACTAGTATAATTTAGTAAAAATAAAACAAAATCACCATACCATATCATACCACAGTTCATTTTAGTCAGAATTGCGTTGTATGTGGTATCATTTATATGTTTAAAAAATAAATTTTATTATTAAGAGGTAAAATTAAAAAATTGTAGGAGGGCAGATTTAGCAATTTCTAATTATTTTTAGTATTATTTACACCTGCAATTCCGCTTGGTACTCAAAATTTCCAACCAACTTTTGTCGATCTAGTTAGGAAACCCATTATTGTACGAATTCATATCCATAATTTTCTTGCCAAATCAGTAGTTACGCGGCATATGCTAGAATCATCGGTGCAGTACTAATTATTGTCAATTTTTTTTTAATTTCAGTAGTAAATATTTTTCCTATAATATATGTATGCAAACTTTTGGCAGCTACTGTACAAATGTCGATGTGTAAGCAACATTTACTTGTGCTTCCTGTGTATTTTCTTTTTTTTTAATTGTTCATGGACTATTTACAAGCATTTTTTTGTTTTATTAGAATATATCGACAGCAGAACTAACTGTTTTATCATTTTGTTTGGTAAATAAATGTGAATATTTTCTGTATATCTGGCGTATTTGCAGTAAATAAAAAGCGTCATGCCATCGATTATTGTCCAAACATATTGTTAAACGTAAAGTGTTTTTCGAAATGGGAACTATAATGAAATATATTTGAAATATAAAATGTAAATGTATTAAATTAAAAATGTCCAAATTTATTGGAAAACTAAACTCAATATAACGCATAGCTTCATGTGATGCAGCCTGAAAAATACAATAAATTTATGTGAAAAACTGACATTTGTATATAGGAGGCGTACTAAAATCATTGGCTAAATTTTAATAGTGGGTTCTACCACTCAGATTAACAAATGTTTCTATAAAAATGTGTTCGGAAACGCTTGATATTCAATATACTTGGTGTTTAAAATTAACAGAAATATGAGGATTATTTCAAGATGTTTTCATTCCAAAACCCATGATTTGTTAATCTACATCAATAATCTTTAGAATTTATTTAAGTTCAACACCGTGCATCTCTGAAACTGGTTAAGACTAGTTAAGACTTTTTGAATCGTTGAACAAATCTCTGAAGGAATGAAATGGACTTAAAAGCATCCTGTTTATGAACTCGAAATTATATTTTAATTAGTTGATTTATGTAACAAAATAAGTATAAGGAATAAAGGATTGTAGCTACAGTTAATTCCGAAGATATTCGAGTAAACATGACATGTTTTAAATAGGGAAAACAGTTTTTACATATTTTCCAAACGCTAAATGTTAGTTTTTATTAGAGAGTGTATTATCATTTAAGCATTTTAGGCAAAGAAAGACAACAGTAATACGTTATTACAAACAAATTATCTGGGAACAAAAATTCCTCCATAAACGTTTTACAAACAACCGCAACAGAACAGTCGTCGAGCCGTGTGTATATTGTTATATTTTTTTCATGGGATAATGGCGACCGACATTATATTCCTTCCACCATTCAAGACACTTCCGGCTGACTACCTGCCTATCCTCAGCCCATTCAGATCGAACTGTTGATACGCCGTAGATTAGAAAATAGAGTCGAGAACGAAAAACAAGTCTTCTTTGTGAAATCGCCGATTGTGTTGTACTTGATTGTTGATTTCCCCTGTGAATGGAATTACCACAATAAAGAGCCCCGTAAGAGCTGTTTAAGAATCGTAAATGGGGTGAAGACCCACAGGCGAATACTTTGCCAAATCAATCAAATTCGAATTAATAATGGGTTTATTAAAAGACGGCTGGATTCTAACGGAAGATTTGTGCTTGATTGATGATGCACTAACTAGCAGAAGTGTAAAATCAATTTGTAATTTTATTGCAAATCTCTGCATACAGGGTGGCACTGGAAATGGAGGAGCTTTCAGCTTCTACACTTTGCCTCACTTCTTGTATTACTTCAGTTATTCTATACAAAAAATGATTCGCAACCTCTCAATAATTCTACAATTATAAACTCTTTTTATTTTCAATGTTCTATAAGGGACTTCACATACCACAAATAACTTTCTAGTTTTAATCAGTTCTGCACCACCTCGTCTTAGCGCACAAAAAAATTTCTTACTTCAAATGTACAACATTTTATTTTAAGGTTTCGCACGTTTATATATACGCAAGAAAATATTTTCTTCCTTAAAGAAAATTATTTATTTATTTAAAGACTTTTAAAGACTTTAAATTTCTACCCAGAAATATAATTTCTTACTTTAAAAATAGGCAACATTTAAAATAAATATTTGGTACTTACGGTTAACGAATTATACATAGATTTTATAGAAACATGTTTTGTATTGTATATTAATGTATCGTTTGTTTAATACAAAATTGAATAGTCAATGGTCAAACGATTCTATATAACGAGCGTTCAAATAAAAACGTGGTCAAGTTGGTTCTGAAAATTTGGACGTAGGGCGTAGCATATAGCAAATGAACTTAAACGTCATCTGTCAAAGCGCTATATCGCCGCTATCAATTTGAATATTTTCGTTTTAAAAAGCGTTTAAAATGGTGTTTTCTCAAGAACAAAAAGTGTTTATCATAGAGTCCTACTTTAGAAATGGACGCAAAATTCATGGAATATGGAAGTATTCTATTGAGGAATGTTTCATAGAATTTCAAAATCAATTTCCCGGCGTTGTTGAGTACAAAATTTTTCAAAGTGCAGTTCAGCGTTGTGTGAATGTTTTTCGTGAAACGGGCAGTGTAACAAGAAAAGAAGGAAGCGGCCGACCTAAAAAGCGGACTGAAGAATTAAAAGAAAATGTCCAACAAATAATGGAAAATGCGCCAAGAACTTCTGTACGTGTTTTATCACAAATGGTGGGAGTATCAGTCGGTACCTGCCACACAGTGTTAAAAAAAGATTTGCGTTTGTTCTCCTATCGTTTAACTTGTCAGCAAGAACTTCATGAAGTTGATTTTCCGCGACGGGCTGTATTTTGTGAATGGTTTTTAAACAACTACAGTGAACTTCATAATATCACCTTTTTTCTGATGAAGCCTGGTTTCATTTAAGTGGTTACGTAAACTCACAGAATATGAGAACGTGGTCTTCTGAAAAACCAGATAATTTTTTTGTCGAGGGCCCTCTACACGCTCAAAAAATTGGAGTTTGGTGTGCTCTCAATCGAAGGAGGATTTATGGACCTATTTTTTTAATGGTACTCTTACTGCGCAAAGGTATAGAGAAGAAATTATCGCTCCTTTTGTTAACCAGCTGGAAGAAAACGAAATTACAAACTTTTACTTTCAACAAGATGGCGCAAGGGCACATACGGCAGACGAGACGATGAATATGTTGAGGGAAGTTTTCCAAAATCGACTAATAAGTCTCAATGCTGAACATGAATTTCCACCGAGGTCATGTGATATTACGCCGTGTGATTTCTTTTT